CTTTCCTCTATTGCAGTGCAGTAGAAAGATCTCTGGGCTTAAAAATCAGAGGACCTGAGTTTGATTCTGACTCTGCTCATTACAAGTTGTATATGCTTAAGTAAGTTTCTTAACTTCTATGGGCCTCAATTTCCTCACTTGTAAAATGAGGGAGATAGGATTGTTTTCCAGCTCTCAAATGTGAGCCTATGATGCTACATGTCTTTCTCTATGATTCTATAACATTAGCAACTATCAACCCACAATATGCCATCTTTCTCTTTTGTGCAAAATCTTTATGACAGTGTTCTGGGCACATGGCAGAATCCTTGATGAAAGTGAACAGTTCTCAGATGATTTTCTAAAGTAAATTATGTCTTCACAATTAGAGAACTAAGAGGTAGAGAGAAGATAAAATCCCACTTACCTATTGTTTGTCAAATATTTTCAAATTCAATCTTAAAAGGTTCTCTTCACACTAGATGTCCGTCATGCACTGATCAGGATCCTCTGACAGTTATTGCCATGGAGATAACTTTGTTCAATAAGTTGTAGAGTTTAACCTCAAATGAGACACAAAACAGGGAGACATGCTGACTGTTTGCCAGTGCCATGGACGATTATCCCAAATAGTAGGATTTTCTATTGGAGAGGGTCTCTAAATGTTCTTATTCACAGAAGACATTGGACTACTTGGGCTGAGTCCTGGAACACTACAAATCCCCTTCAATAAAACCTGTATTCCTTTGAAAGAAATTTCCTGACAATCCACATTGGAAAAACGAACTGATTGAAAAAATGCATATTGCCTTGATTATATGACAATTGATTGTATGGGCAATCTATTATACATATATACATACATATATATATATATATATACACATATATATGTGTATACACACACACACACAGACACACCCGTAAACACACACATGCCTGACAGGCACATGCCTGACAGACATTGCAGCTATACAATTAAAATAGACTCAGAATTTTTTAAAATGAGTTTTTATTGATGTCTTCTGTTTCTAACATTATCCATAGTTATCCCCAGTATCCCTTTCCTTTCGCCTCTCAGAAAGCCATCCTATATAACAAAAAGTATTTTTTAAAAGGCAAAAAAATCATTAAAACTGATCAACACATTGAAAAAGAAAGAAATGCATAAGGTCTAACATCTGTGGAGCTCCCACTTCCACAAAGAGGTATCCTGTCGTATCTCTTCATTCATTAATGACTCAGAATTTAATAGGCAGAGGAAATTGGACTGGATTACATTTAGGAAATTGCACCAGACTTTTAATGAAACTGCTTGCTTCTGCAAAACCTTTTCTGTTTAAGAACACCAATATTCTAGGTAAGTGGCACAGTGGATAGAGAACCAGGACTGGAGTCAGGAAGACCCAAGTTCAAATCAGTTTCAGATATTTCCTTGATGTGTGACCCTGGGCAATTCATTTAACCTCTATTTGCCTCAGTTTTCTCATCTGTAAAAAGGGGATAATAATAGTATCTATTTCCCAGAATTGTTTTGAGGATCAAATGAGATAATAATTGTAAAGTGCTTAGCACAGTGCCTGGCACATAGTAAGTGCTACATAAATACCAGCTATTATTATTAGCTACTATTAGTGAGGCCATGTGGCTCAGAAGAATCATGATTGAAGGTGAATATAAGGGTACAGCATATTCTCTATCAGGATTTGCTAACAAGAAGTGACATAAAAATACCATTAAGCACCTCTATTGTCAGAAAAAAAGATATGGGCTGGTCACTTAGTCTAAGAGAAGAATTAATGCTATACTAATGCCCACTAAATATTAAAAGAACCAAAGGCAGGCTTTCAGCACATTGGGTGGAACCTATATGTGGGATTTATGGGAAAACATGAACAAGAATATCATAGGTTAAGAAGAGGTGGAGTCTCACTGGCAGTGGCCTTGGGTCCTGGAGCAGCCTTTGCCTGGAAGCATCACCCAGGTTCGGCACGTCTTGCTCAAGGTAAAGAAGCTAGCCTCCAAACTTGGAAAGAACATCAAGATCAATATGATTTGGCTCTTCCAAGAATATATCCACTTGTGGTTATTGGACAAGGACCTCACATTAGGTACCAGCAGTCAAATAAAAGCCCCCCTCATCAGATTCATCATCTTTGTCTCCCTTCATGTTAAATGCCTATTCATCATCATGCAAGTTATGGAAGTCAAATTTTGGTTGAATATAAGGAAGAATGCTCTGACAATTAAACCTGTCCAGGAATGGAGAAGGCAACTTCATGAAGTAGTGAACTCTCTGCCACTAAAAGTGTTCCAGCAGAAATTCATTGCTTTCTGCTAGGTGTGGAGCCATCTAACCAGCTCAATCTTAGACTGCATTAGTTAATAAAGGTGTAATAGCCAGGGCAATTCACTATCAACTTGACAAACATTTATTAAATTCCTACTACATGCCAGACACTGAGAAACATGCTGGGAATACACAGACAAAATGAAGCAGTCTTTGTGCTCAGGGACCTTACATTCTTCTGGGGGAATACATCATGTACACAAATAAGTAAATACAAGATACATTTACATATGCAAGGCAGTGTGTAACAGCAAGGGAATACAACAAAGCCTTCTTGAAGGAGCTATCAGTTGAGCTGATATAGAATGTCTAAGAGGAGGAGGTTGAGGCGGGGAGCACTCTCAGCCCAGAGGCAGGAAATGAAATGGGACATTCTGTTGGAAAAAATGTAGAACATGTGAGGGGTAGGAAACTATAACATGCCAGGAAAGAAAGACTAGAGCCAAACTGTGAAGGGCTTTAAAAGCCAAAAGAAGAATTTGTATACCATCCTAGGAGAGGGAACCATTGCAGCTTCCTGAGGAGGGGAGAAACATGGTCAGAACAAGGGATGTGATTCTTATGTTAGGTAGAAGGCTGGGATAAATTACTTCTAAGGGCTCTTCTGACTCTGGGGGACTGTGATCTTAAGCAATAGAAAATCAGAATCTATGTATATTCTGACCCAGCTATCTTTTTTTTCTTCCATCTCCTTGAAAAAGAATTCTACATCATGAGTAAATGTGTTACCAATAAAAAAGAATTGAACAATACAGTAAAAAAAAAAAAAAAAGAGGTGGAGGTAGATATGTTGGGATATATGTTATTGAAGGGAATACTTACACCCTGGAGATTTTTTATCAATTAAAATATTATACCCTAGGGTTGCAAAGCAGTGAACAAATATTGTATTATTGTCTCTCAGAGTATGTAACAATATACAAGGTATATCAAAAGTCTTAAAGCAGTATTAAACTTTAATAGCTTCATACTGCATTAAGACTTTTGGAACACTCTGCATAAAGGATTATATAAATGTACAGTGTCATCATGTGCTCCCAATAGCACAACACAGAGCACATAAAAATTATAAATTGAGGAGTCTTCATTATCCCTATTACTGGGAGACAGCAGGGAACTGTTGAAATCTACTGATTATCTCTAATTTTCATTTTTGACCATTAGTACCAACTTCCTTTCAGTGAAAAACTTTGCGCCACAACTGCTGACATGCCCCTAAATGCCAGAATTAAATTTCGTTTCCTTTTTCTTCCACCTTAATTGACCTCCAGCAACTTCCATACAATAGCAGAATCCAAGTTATGTTTGTATCTACAACTAGTTAACCCTTTGGTGGAGAAATGAATGAATAGAAGGAATATGAAACACACACACACACACACACACACACACACACACACACACACACACACAACCTTGGATAGTCTCCTAAGAAGAAAAATTAGTCCAAAAGGACTTTTTTTCAAATAGCACTTAACCTGTGGAAAATCTCAGGTTGCCACCTGCTATTCTATGTTAGTTAATCCCCTCTCCCCAAGCTACCTATTTGGTATCTATTTCGATAACGGTAATCAAGGTTTTAAATAAAATTTAAATGGGGCATATGCCCCCCTTTCTCCGCCCTAGGGGTGGTGGGAGCATTCTCCCTATTCCTCCAGGATGATAGAACTACAACTTGTTATAGAAACGTTAATGACGTTAATAAAAAATGACTTTCGGGACTTAAGACTTTTGATTTAAGTCTTCAAGGGTCACTTTAGGGTCCATGATGCCCTCGTATGCCCTGATTCTGATTGGAAGAAACTTTAAAATGGCAAAATAGCTCCCATTTGAAGCCCCAACCCTTTGGAATGCAGTCCTTGCTTTCCTCTCTCCGTTCTGAAGCTACCATTTGAGGAGATGCTTTGGACTTTCTTATGTACCTTATTCTAACCCTCTCATTCGCTCCCTCTTCACCCCTCCGTCCCCCTTCCTTTATCTAGAAGTGGGATGTCAAATTCTCTCTTCTCGGTCTCCAATCAGATGCCCCCCCACCCCCCGCCAAGGAGCCCGGGCTCAATCCCTGCCTAGCCCATCCCTTGACCCCTTTCTGCCTCAGCGGACACCCTCTCTTTCTCCATTGACTCGGGCCCCTCGAGGCTCCCGCCGCTTTCCACTTGGGGCTGAGGACCAGGGGGCGGGGTCTCTCAGCCAGTGTCCCCGCCCTTCGCTCCTTCTTCCCTCCCTCTCCTTTCTCCCTCGCCCCCCACCCCCTCCACCCAGACAATGTGCTGGGCTAGCGTCCGGCTTTCACTAGAACTCGCCATCGCTCAGTCTCCGGTGCCGGGGTGACCGAGGTGAGTCTGGGCTCTCGGGGTTCGGACTCCCGTGAGTAGTGAGGACCGACCGCGAGCACCTAGCAGCGGCCGGAGCCTCAGCAGCGACTCCTCCGTCTGCCACGGAGCCTCTGGCCGCTGAGCTCCCTCCCTGGAGCCATGTCCCAGCGCTTTGTAGTGACCCCCGCAGCGGGCGGGCCGGTGGAGCCGGGGGCTCAGAGCGGCGTCGCAGCGGAGTCTGAGCGCAGCAGCGGTGGCACCCTGCGCCCCAGCCCTCGCCCGAGTCCGCGCCCCAGCCCCAGCCCCAGTCCCAGCTCTCTCCCAGAGGCGCTGCTGACTGACGAGAAGGTCCCCCCAGAGCTGGGAGCGAAAGTGGCCAAGCACGACGCGTTGCCGATTCTGCACTACTGTCGCGAGCCCAGCAGATACGGTAGGTGCCCCGCTACCCATGACCGCTGCTTGTGGCCTCCGGCACAATCCACCCAGAGCCTCACAGCATTTCCCTCCAGATCTTTGGCTTGGGCATGGGGTCATTATTACCCCGGCTTCCCAGGGCTGGGGCTGAGTAGTATAATAGGGAAGGGGCAAGGAATCTCCTCTGATTGCTCCAAGTGCTATTGGGGTGACGAGACCCTTGCACATTTCCCCCTCCCGGTCCCGTTAGCCTCCTTTCCTTACTCTATCAACTCCCAACCCACAGCTTTAAACCTTTCCAGTTTGGTCTGAGCAGCAATGCTGATTCGGACAAGTCACGAAGCTGAAAAGTGGCCCTTCTGGCTTTCCTGGATTCTTATGTCCAGTATCAGTTTGGGACAGTTGCCCAGTAGCGGGAAATCCGCCTGGAGGGCATTGCAGGATGATTCCCTAGGGGCCTCCTGGCTGCTGGGGAGAAAAACAAAGAGCTGTGCCCTGGTGGAGTGTTTACGGATTCCGGGCTTCTTGCATGCAGCTCATAACACTTGCTCTACAAATGCTGGGCTAAAATTCAAGTAGCAGCCCAAGAAACAAGTTTCTCTGGTGTTTTAATGCCTTCTGTGAACGTTACTTCCTGTTTCTCTCAAGTCAGACTTGAGTGTCAATAGGCTTCAGCCAAGTGATTAGACGGCAGTAATCGTTGATTAGCAGAGTTGAAATGGGGGCTGCTCCGTTTACTGTCCTTGAGATTTATTCACAGGCATTGACTGAACAATTTATCTGCATTTGGCGTAGTTTGACTACTTCTCTAGAAAGTTAAACTTTAATCATTCATAATCTCGCCCCTTATCTACATCTCTTGCCACCCAAGACATCCTTTCTTTACCTCCCGCATTCCATCCGTGCATTGTAAATACAGCCGACTAGCAACCCGCTCTCTTCCGGGTGCATTTCAGTAAGGTTGATCTTCTTTCAAGAAATCATGTGATTAGAGTCACGGTGGCCTCCAAGGTTGCTTCTTAGTCCTGTCGTGACAGCCTGTCTGCTTCCTATTGGCAGCGTTCCCATTATAACTGAGGAGCTGGGAAAGTCGAATTTATCTCCGAAATTGGACTTCCCTCCTTACTTTTTTAAGAGGATGGGGAGAGGAAGGATGCTTAATCAGGGATAGATGGGTTAGTTAATTCTCTGAGTGTTTAATCTTGTTTTTCATGAAATCTTGAAGTTTTAAAACCAAGATGAAAATCAGACTGGAAGTCTAATGACTGCCCTGGGGAACCTCTTCTCAGGATAATGCTTTTTAAGTACATAAAATAAAATACATAGAATTACAAAGGAAGCAATTATATTGAAATACAGTTATCAACATTTTTTCTTAATTCTTATACTCCAGGTTAAGAACCTTTGATCTAATCCACCCTTTTCCCCAGGCAGGCAAAGGGATTTATTTGCCCAAGAGAATATGCGACCTAAATAGGGACCATAACCCAGATCTATTGACCCACTCCCTTCTCCCTCCACATTCTCTCCTCCACCCTTTTCATCATTAGACCAGGCTGCCTGACAGGAAGCTGAACTTCCACTTATAATGACCTGGTCTAGAAGAGTTCCTTTGGACGAAGATGAAATATTTCAATAATTGGCCAGACAAGACACCTACCAGTTTGTGCCCCTTTTTATTATAGATACAGTCCAGAACTTTGGAGAAAGACATTGTTTTGTCTGTTATTATTTTATCTGTGGTAATAGTTCTAGCCTAAATAGATGAGAAACTAAGGGCTGAATATATGGGGGGGGTGGAATCTCTCTTCTTTCTAATGTAGAGGTTCTTGAGCTTAAAACTGTGATAGACCCCTCTAGCAGTCTGGTGAAGCCTGTGGACTATCTTTCAGAATAATGTTTTTAAATGCATAAGATAAAATATTTAGTATTACAAAGGAAACCAATTACATTGACATATACTCATCAAAATTTTTTCTTTTAAACCAAGTTCCTGGACTCCAGGTTAAGAAACTCAGGGTCTGAGGCAAAGATGAACAGACCATTGTCCACAAAGTGGATGTAAATTAAAGCTTCAATGTACCCTCAATGTCATCCAGTCCAGCCCTCTCATTTTATAGATGAAGGAATTGAGTTATGCCTGGAGAAGTTAAGGGACTTACCCAAGATTACAGTAAGCACCAGAGCAAAGGATTTGAACTCAGGTCCAGATTCCAAATACAGGTTCATTCTTTTTCTACTTGTCCTGATGATGAACAAAGTTGCTTAGGGGTTGTTAATCTAGGAGTTTTATGGAGAAGAATTTACTCTCCATGTAATTTGGGTACTACGGATGGGGGATTGACTAAATTTGGAAAATGTCTCGTGTAGAAGGTTAACACCTGAGCAGTGTGATTTGAAAGAAGCTACAGATATTATTAAGTGGAGCTGAGGAGAGAGGTTGGCAGTCCTCTGAAAAAAAATTAATAAATAGTTTCATTGAGTTAAAGCCAGGAGAGACTTTAGAAGTCATCTTGTTTCATCCTCTCTTTATACAGAGGAGAAAACTGAGGCCCAGAGAGGTTAAATGAGCTGTCTGAGGTCACACAGGTGGTAAATACCAAAGCTAGTATTATTTATTTTTCAAGTGCTTTTTTTCTTGTCTCCAGGCTTGAAATCAGTGGAATTTGGCTTATCACATAGGACTTCACAATATAATTATTTAAATTCCCTCAGAAGGAAAATCTAATGGGGACGAGGGGAAGAGTGGTACTTGTGATTATTGAAGATTGCAAGCAAAAAGGCTATGATCTGTCTTTAGTTTCCTTGAAGGGCTGGAGAGTTTTTTTTCATATAGCATGGCAAGTTAATTTAAGACAAAGTATTAATTTTAAAGTCAAACATGCAGGCATTCCACTTTTCATAAAGCTGTTTCTCATTGGAAATGAGTTCTCTAAGATGATTTCCTGAGTTTCAGTGTTTCTCATTGGAAATGAATTCTCTAAGATGATTTCCTGAGTTTTGGTGGTTTATTTAGTCTAGAAACATGTATCCCAAATGAGGAGCTAAGGCAGGACCTTAGATCTAGACTAGAACCAAAATGCCAATTGTAATTTAAACCAATGTGGTTTGTAAAGCATATTGATGAGGAAGAACCAATGTAGGGTAGGGAGAAAGAAAGAGACCCAGAGATGGATGGATAGACCCAGAAAGAAGAAGAAAGAGAAGGTGCAACAGAGACAAGGTGACTGCTGGAGCAAGGGCTCAGAGGAGGGAGGAGGGGATGAGGCAAAAGGATCTGGTAGAAATATGACTGAGGCAGAATTCATTATCTTTTCCCCTAAACTATTTTCCCCACCCCCAAGGTGGAGACCTTCCCTATTACTGTAGAGGGCAATACCATCCTCCCAGTCCTCAGGCTCACAACACAGGAGTCATCCTGGACTTCTCACTATGTCTTCTCCCCCCCACCCCATATCCAAGCTGTTGCCAAGGCCTATTGATTTCACCTGTGCAATATCTCTCTTATAATCTCTCTTCTCTCTTCTGACACTGCCACCACTCTAGTGCAGACCCTCCTCATCTCACTCCTGGATTATTGCAATAGACTGCTGGTGGGTCTGCTTGCCTCAAGCCTCTCCCCATTCCAAATCCATCCTCCATTCAGCCACTAAAGTGATTTTCCTAAAACACAGGCCTGACCATGTCACTACCACCCCGATGCCCCTCCCCCCCCCACACATTATTAACCTCCAGTGGCTCCCTGTTGCTTCTAGGAGCAAAAACAGAATGGTTTGTTTGGTATTCAAAGCCCTTCTTAACCTACCCTGTCCTGCTTTTCCAATCTTCTTACACCTTATTCTCTGACTCTTTTTTAAGTCAATGACCCTGGTCTTGTGACTATTCCATGAACAACACACTCCCTCTCCAGGCTCCAGGCCTTTTCTCTGACTATGCCCCAGGGCTGGAACACTTTCCCTCCTCCACTCTCACTACTCCCTGGATTTAAGTTCCAACTAAAATCCCACCAACCGGAAGCCTTGTCCAACCCCTTTTTATTCCAAAGCCTTCCCTCTTTTAATTATCTCCTATTTATCCTATATATAGCTTGCTTTGTATCTATTTGCTTGCATGTTGTCTCCCCACTCTGATTGTAAGCTCCTTGAGGACAAGGACTGTCTTTTGCCTCTTTCTATATCTTCAGAGCTTAGCATTGGGCCTGGCATGAAGTAGGTGATTTAAAAGTGTCTGTTGATTGATTGATTGACCTTAATGAGGAATTGAGGAGATAAGTTTAAGGAACGAGAGGCAGATTTAGGCTCAATGTACATAAAAATTTCCTAACACAGCTGGCTATCCAGAAGCGGAATGAGTTGCCTACAAAAGCAGTGGGTTAGTCTCACTAGAAGCCATTAAGCGAAAGCTAGATGACCACTCATCATGGATCTTATAGAGGGTTTCCTGTACAGGTACAAGTTGTACCAGGTGGTCTCTCAGATCTCTTGTAACTCTAGTATTCTGACTCTTTACCTTCAATCTCCATTCACTTATTCATTTCTTCAGTAAACATTTATGAAGCACTACTAGGTGCCAAGTACTGTACTAGGCACTGGAGATACAAAAGACCAAAGATACAAAGACCAAAATGAAATAGTTCCTGCCTTCAAGGAGTTTACATTTTAGGTGGGAGACTCGCTGGAATGCATATTTTTCTTTTTTGAGGAGTGGAGGAGACTTGTAATTGGGGGCATCAAGTAGCATTTTATTTTATTTTATTTGCTTTTTTTTGGTGAGGCAATTGGGGTTAAGTGACTTGCCTAGGGTCACACAGCTAGTAAGTGTTAAATGTCTGAGGCTGGATTTGAACTCAGGTCCTCCTGACTCCAAGGCCAGACCTCTATCCATTGCACCACCTAGCTGCCCCATCAAGTGGCATTTAGAGGAAGCTGGGGATTCCAAGTTGTGGAGAAGGGTGTTCATTCCAAGAATGAGAGAAAACCAGTGCCAAGGCAGGCAGGCAAATGATGGGATATCAAG